TGGAATTTTCCACCCTTGAAAAATTGTTTTCCACTCCTTAACAAACCAAACAAATGAAAATGGGAAAAAATGGAAAATTCATTTTCCATGAAAACCTTTTACATCAAACCAAACAGGGCCTCACCTTTTCAATACTTTCTTAAAATGCATACCTACAGCAGGCTACAGCTACAAGAAAAACGTAAAAGAACGGAGGTAATACACCCTCGATTTTCTGTATTGTAATCAGCTCTGTGACTCAGTATTGAGTACTCATAGTCATATCCAGACACCGGTATGTATCGAATTTTATTGTGGTTAATTATGCAATTTTGTGACAGTTCTCCTTAATTTTTGCCCAAAATGAATCGTGTCGGTCTCACATGAGTACTAATGTAAAATGAAGAGTCCAAGTAACATAACTACTGAGCAATTCAACCAAATGAGGCGAAAATCTTTTCACCAAAACAAAAATTATTAAACTTCCAACAAGTGAAAGTCAATTTCCATATATATGATGATACCACGAAGTACAAATTAAACAAATTGATCCAATAAACATAAAATATTGACTAAATTACAGAACATAAGGATACAATTTAAAATGCAGAATAAAGCAAAATATTGGTGGGATAAGATAAAAGTAGTACCTGAAAGAGAAGAAGAAGCATTGTTTCTGAATTGGGTTCTTGGAGGAAATGAGGAAGATGAAGAGAGCAGATTAATGGCAGTTTCCATGAATTTTTGAGGAGAGAAAAAATGTTAACTTCACTTCAACTTGGTCCCTTCGTTCTAAGCTTTCTTCTCAGGTTTCAGCCTCAAAACCCCATTCTCAAATTGGATGAGGTTTGTTACTTGTGCGCGATTTTCTACATTCTTATGATTTTAAAACTTTTTTTTTTTTAATTTTTTTTTGGAGGACGGGTGTTTGGGTTTGGGTTCACAAATTAGATAAGATACCTATGAGGGGGCATTTGGTTAGATTAATGAAAACAAAGTGGAAAGGAAATAAATAAAAGGAGGAAAAGGAATCATACAATTCTTACCTTTTTCTTTGTTTAGATTAATTATAATAAAAAATCCATTTGTGTTTGAGAAGGGTAAAGGTATTAGGGCTTGTTTTTATTGACTGAATTGAACTGAGCTGAACTGAATTGAACTGAAATGAAATGAATATTTTATAAGAGAAGGAAATTAGGAGCTAAAATGAACTGAACTGAACTGAATTGAGCTGAACTGAACTAAACTGAGCTGAACTGAACTGAACTAAATTTCAACGTATGAGAACATGCCCTTAGAGTGGTAATAATTAGGGGTGTCAATTCGGATAATCGGATCGAGTCTGATATGGTCAGGTCGGATAAAATTTTAAAGTTAAGTCATACTAAATTGTCATGTCCACGCGAGTCCAATCCTGAATCGGATGCTTTTCGAATCGGTTTCGGATCGGGTCGGGTGTGCTTTTGACACCTATGGACTAACAAATTGGTAGAGTCCCTTACCCTTAGTTAAAGGTAATCATTACTAAATCTCTTAAGCAAACATTTGATAACAGTTATGGTTTAACCGAATTCGTTTCCAACCTAAAAAATACACTAACCAAACATGTTCTAAATGTTTGAAACTTATAGAGTACCTCAAACTCTCAAGATATGAGGTATGAGGTTTAGAAATGTAGGGTGTTAAGAATCAAGTTCCAAACTCATACCACTACGTTTCCATACACCTACGTTTGAAACCTCTCATACCTTGAGAGACAATTAAATAGAGAGACACAGAGAGAGCGCATGTTATAAATTTAAAAAGAGAAGAGAATATTATGATTATTACAAAGCATATACTAACTTAAAATATTGCAGTTATAGCAGTTATAACAAAATCTAGGCAGTTCGTTTGTTACAGAGAAATGATGTAATGATGACTAAGTTAGTTAGTTGTAACTAAGTCTACTTAGGCGGCAGAGTCTTAAAATCAAGTGAATTGCTATTTGTCGCTCCCATTTTACATAGTAATGCTCCCATTTTGACTTGAATGAACAAATATGCCCTTTATACAAGTTGTGTTATAAAAAGGACTTTGTTCCCCATATGGAAACATTATATCAAACGGTCCCCTCAAAGTACGATGTGAATATCCCGAGTCCACCAAATCGGTCGCCACGACCTTAAAACCAAATCGGTCCCCACGACCACCTTAATTCTTTTTTTTTAAATTAATCATAAAATTTTTCTGACGGGTCTTGGATCATGGACGACGAGTGGAACATCCGTACACCGGAGAATGCGTCGGAACATTCTATAAGTTTTTTTTTTTATTTTCTGTAAATAGGACATCCGCCTAAAAAATCTGGATGTCCCTTGGTGGATCCGCCTAAAATTTCCGAATCCACCTTGGAACATCCGGAAATTTCAAGCGAAAGTAGGGATCCGCCTGAAATTTCCAGATGTTCCAAGGTGGATTCGGAAATTTTAGGCGGATCCACCTTGGGACATCCGGATTTTTCAGGCTGATGTACCTTTTCCAAGTTTTTTTTTAAATATTAATTAAATTACTTTTTTTCTAATATTAATTACTTTTTTTCTCGATTGTTGTTGTGATTAAGTTTTTGATAATAAAGTAACTATTATTGTTTTGTAATACTCATATGATTTTTTTTGTAACATTATTATTATTAATTTTTTTATTATTATTGTTATTATTATTAATTATTAGGATATTTTGGATTTTAACACCTGACAAAAGGCTGAAAATGGTTTTTAACACCCCCCAAAAAAAAACTTTTATTTTAACACCTCCCAAAAATATAAAAGTTGGAAGTTAACACCAGTTAACGATTTCCGTCACGGAAATTTAACGTGGGTCCCACAAATTGGCTTCAACTTCAATTTTCACCCAGCAAAACACGAAACTTCCTCTCTGAACCTTCATTTCATTGATTTTATCCATTACAGATTTTTGGTGCTCATAATTTACAGATTTACAGATTTTTGGTGCTCATAAATCAAACCATACAAAAAATAAATAAAAATTCAACACCGGTTCATCTTCTCCTTCGTTGGAGAACAAAGCGACTGAGAACTTCCATTTTTTTTACCACCAATTCCGCCGCCCATAAAGGGCCCTGTACGGCTACTGACCAAGCCTTCGCAGCCAGCAAACATGTTAACTGGGGACCGGCCACCAAAATTAAATCAACCACCCAAGAAACCAACCTTGCCCCATCCCGTTAGCCACCCAGCTCCCTCCCCCGACCGACGACCGGCGAACCCATCCCACCCCTTTTCCCCACAAACGCAACCCAACCCTCTCCCTTTTCCCCTGCTGCCCCGACCCAAGCCACCACACCGAAACCACAATCAAAGATCTGAATCGCCGCAACCACCACCACTACCACCACTCTTCTGCAACACTTTGCTCCAAACCCTAACGAATCGACCCGCCTTAACCTTTTCGGCCACCCTAACCCCTAAACCACCACACCGTAACTTTTTTCGGCAAACTTAAATTGATTTCTAGACGAGGTTCGATGGATCTGCGATTTGCTCTGATTTCGGGAATTGATGTTGGGAATTGATTTTTTGCAGTTTGAGTGAGGAGGTGGCTGCAGGGGTTGCGATTGTGGGCTGGTATTTGGAGAGGAGCTGATTTGGTTGCGAGAACGGGGAAAGGGAAGGGGGGTGGGTTCGGTTGGCAGCGTAGGGGTGGGGGAAAGGGAGGGGGGAGGGAAGGGGTGGCAGTTGAGGGGAGGGTGGGCAAGAACGAAGGAAAGAGTTTGGGATGGCAGCCATGAAGATGAAGGGAGGAAGAAGACGAAGAAAAGATGAAGGGAGGAATAAGAAGAAAAAATGGGATGGCAGCCACGAAGGTGGGTTTCGTAAAAAATTGAAAACGAAGGAGAGTTGAAGCCAATTTATGGGACCCACGTTAAATTTCCGTGACGGAAATCGTTAACTGGTGTTAACTTCCAACTTTTATATTTTTGGGAGGTGTTAAAATAAAAGTTTTTTTTTGGGGGGTGTTAAAAACCATTTTCAGCCTTTTGTCAGGTGTTAAAATCCAAAATATCCTAATTATTATTAATTTTTGTTATTATTATTGTTATTATTATTATTGTTGTTGTTGTTGTTATTGTTGTTGTTGTTGTTGTTCTTATTATTATGATATTAATTAGTAGAAATATAAATATTATAAATATTATTATTATAATATTAATTAGTAATTATTGTTAGGGTATTACTGTTTTGTAATTATTGTTATTATTGTTGTTGTTGTTAGTGTTATTGTTTTGTAGTAGAAATATTATTATTATTATTATTATTATTATTATTATTATATTAATTAGTAATTATTGTTAGAGTAGTATTGTTTTGTAATTGTTGTTATTATTGTTGTTGTTGGTGGTGGTGATTATTGTTGTTGCTATTATGATTGTTGTTATTGGTATTAGTTATTAATGTTAATAATATTATTAGTTGTAATATTGTTTTATAAATATTATTATTAATATTATAAAAAATAACATAATGACATACACCATTGTTTTGTTTAATTTGTATAGGATATGGAATCTAAAGACGGCGGTGACGGTGTGAATTATAGAGGGAATTTCGTCACGGATATGTTATTTCCAACATTTGAGGATGCAGTTACATGGGCTGATGGTGTTTCCATAAATTTGGTAATTTATTTTGGTGAAATCGTCTTATAACAAAACCAGATATGGTCGGCCGTATCGATGTTTGCGATGTGAACGGTCACGGAGGAGCAAGCCGAGAGATTTGGAGAACGCGATACGGAAGGACACAAAAACCAAAGCTAATGGTTGTCCATTCTACATCAAGATATAGTATGAAGTCAGTACTAATAATTGGAAGATCCGTGCGAAAAAATGATCACATCGGGACACATAACCACCCAATGACTGTTACCAAGAGGGTCACCGTAAAGTGAGCGGATTGAGCCCGGGTGCGAAACAGGTTGTGCGTGACATGACAAAGTCCAAGGTTGCGCCCCATAACATCATGTCAACTATTCCAGAGCAATTTCCTGATGATCATCCAAACATCCGGCACATTTACAATTGCCATAATGATTTCAGGATGGAGATGTTCGAAGGAAGAGGAGTTGTTCAACAATTTCTTCATTTGCCGAGAGAGAGTAAGTACATTTACTGGGTCATGACCGACGATCTCGACGTCTTGCAACATGCATTTATGGTGCACCTGATCACGGTCAACATACTCCGCACATACCCACATGTCATATGTATGGATTCTACTTACAAGACCAATCGATATGGGATGTCGTTCTTTGAGATAGTAGGTGTGACACCGACAAACCAGAATTTTCTAGTTGGTTATGTTTTCATGCGTGGCGAGTGCACGGATAGCTATCGGTGGGTGTTGCAGAGATTAAGGGAGTTGATTGGGTTTGATAAAGAGCCATCTGTATTTTTGTCAGACCGTGAACTTGGGCTATGTGCGGCTTTGAGAGAAGTGCTTCCAAGGACGTCACATTTACTCTATCGATGGCACATCAATAAAAATATGTGGAGGCTAAGGTGACGAGGATGTTGAAAAACAAGAAGGTTGGTTCTAGTTTTAAAAATGGCAAATGGAACAAAATTATGAATGCAACAACCCAGGCGGAGTATGATCATGCTCTAGCTACCATGAAAGTGAGGTGGGCAAGTTATCCGGCAGTGATTCAGTATGTTGAGAGAACATGGCTTTGTCATAAGGAGAAATTTGTGACATATTGGACGAACCAGGTTCTTCACTTTGGTAACACCACCAATTGTAGAGTTGAGGTCAACATTCAGCAGTGAAAACGTGGTTTGAATCATCTACAGGTTAGTTGTTTTACTGTATTAGTTGTTGTCGTTATTACGTAATTGTAATTATAATAAAAAATTAAAATGTATTTACTAATTTAAATCAATGGCATGTTCTTTGGATACCGTATGGGCCCGAGTACATTGTCATATCGGTAATCGAATCATACAAATTCGTAATGAGTTGGAGGCATCAAGGTCTAAAATTGGTGAGATGTACAAACAATTGCCACTGTCACGTATAAATGGAAAAGTGTCTCAACATTGCTTGAAAGAACTTCATAAGGAGACGAAAAGGATGCGGGATTTGAGTTACCAGGTTTATGAACGTTGTGGATGTGCTATGCGTGTGACCCATGGTGTTCCATGTGCTTGCCAGATACATGATTCGCTGGTTGCACAGACAGGCTTGTATAGCGGCCAAATTCATTCTTTCTGGAAGACATTGGTTATTGGTGATGGTGTTAACATTCCGAAATTGGTTCATGATTCGACCGAGGAGGCTGCACATTTTCGATCCCTAATTGATGAAGTCATGGAAAGTGATCCGGCTGTACGTCAAAATGTATCGCGAATCATTGAAGAGGAGCTACATCCGGATCATACACACCTTGAAGAACCACATGTGAACCTCAACGTTCGTGGTCGACGGTGGAACAATGACACCAGGCGTGATCGAAGTTATTTCGAGCATGTGAACCGTCAATACACTCAACATGGTGGTGACCAACAAATAGGTAATATTAAAAGTCTATTGATTTTAAAAATTATATTTACTATTAATATTATAACAGGTAATACTTGTAGCTTTACTAATAATTTATCTTTTAATTATGTGCAGCAGATCCGTGTGACATTAGTCAAATGCAGGTATTTGAACATGCTTCCGGGCCCAATGTTGTCGTACATTACATCTTGGAAGGATGTCATTGGTGATGGGAACTGTGGCTTTCGTTGTGTCACCGACTTCTTCTTTGGCGATCAGGCGCTATGGTTTGATGCTCGTGAAACAGTAGCGAACGAGATCGTCGGTCATCCTGATTTGTACGAAAAGATTTACGGGCTTGGACGACTTTGGATGAACGTAGAGCGTATTGGATGGGATGGTGGGGCTGTTGCGGGTGGCTTGCTAGCAGCGCCCATCGGCAGCAGCAGCCCGCACATATGTGCGTGGGCGTGCTGGGCCGAGAAGGCTGCAGCTAGCAGCCCGCGTGTGCGGGTCTAGACTGGGACGAGCATTAGGGTGAGTCATTGGGGAAGCATGTGAAGGGAGTGTGTTTGTGTGAGGACAAGTGGCATAAGGAGAGGAAGGAGTGGGGAGCAAGTATGGTCCCCTCCTCTCCAAGTGGTCCTCACTTCTCTTTACATACAACAAGGACACTTGTTGATTTATTACTTGCTTGCCTATTTAATTTATTTTAGCTTTAAATTAAATTGTGGAATTTCATGATCCCACATTGATGGGATTGAAATTCTCACTCCCACTTTTCTCTATAAATACCCAAGTTGGGTTTTGGAGAAAAGTGCTTGAGTGGGAGTTAGAAAGAGCATTGCATTTTGGCAAAAACTCTTAAACTCCATTAACACTTGGGTTTTGGTCAGACCTTGCTAACTCCAAGGTAGTGGACCTAAAAAGTCGATGTTCGTCCTTTGCGGGTGGATACCGTTGGAGGCTCGGTATTTTCGGAGCTAAAGCTTTCAAGTAAGAGACCATTAGGTCGGGCGAAGCACGCGTCAAAGTAAATTCCGATTATCCTTTGATGTTTATTTGTTATGCTTTATGGTTTTATTAATTGCGAGTGGTTCTTTGGGTCGGGGTCGTTTCTACGGTAAGTTGGACATACCAAACCCCAACAGTTCTTGCTAGGACATCCCGATCCAACATCCCAAAGCAGACGCACGAGGTAGAAGAAGGTCCCGGGTCAAGGTACCCTGATGTGGCCGAAAGCACGGAAAGTACTCATAAATCCACAATCGTAGAAGCGTGAGACAACCAGCAATCGAATCAGCACCTTTCCGTGATGCCATGCCCAATTGCTGATACAAGTAAGCCAGTGCAGCTGTTCCCCAAGTGTACTCGTTAATTGGGACATCCATATAACATAGCTCGTGGAAGAAGGAAGGATGCGTACAGTTACCACTCTTGTCTACAAACAGTGTACCTCAGTTGGTTGACGCCTACTCTGATTCTCAGTTTTAAAATTGACGCCTACTCTGATTCTCAGTTGGTTGTTAGCCAGTATGAGGGAAGCTACGAGGCTACTCATCCGGCTATGATTAAATATCTTCAGGCAGTCAAAGAAGAGACCAAGGCACTTAAGGAATTCCGGCTGAATCAAGTGCCTAGGTCGGAAAACAACCAGGCGGATGCATTATCAAAGCTGGCATCTTCCGCCTGCCATGATACGCCTCGGTCAGTCTTCTGGGAAGTTCTTGAAAAGAGAAGCATCTATGAGGATCCCGTTGGAATTCTGGACCAAAGCTCTACCTGGATGGATGACATCCGGGCCTATCACTCAGACGGCACACTTCCTGACTCGCCACAGGAAGCAGTCGTCCTGAAAAAGCGAGCTGCAAGATTCGAGTTGAAAAATGGAGAACTCTTTAAGGCGGGGTTTTTGAAGCCTTTGTTGAAGTGTGTCACCCCAGAAAAGGGGAAAGAAGTTCTCGAAGACTTGCACTCGGGATTCTGCGCCTTTCACATAGGCGGCAAGTCCCTATCCGTCAGAGCCAGACGACACTATTTTTGGCCAACTCTTGAGGCAGACGCCAAGGAGTTGGTGAAGAAATGTGACAAGTGCCAAAAATTTGGCAAACTCATTCACCGTCCGGCTACTGATCTGACGGCCATCCACAACCCTATCCCGTTTGCAAAATGGGGCATGGACATTCTAGGTCCTTGCACGCCTGCTCCAGGCGGAAAGCGCTACATCTTAGTGGCTGTGGATTATTTCACCAAGTGGGTAGAAGCTGAGGCGGTTAAAAACATCAAAACCTCAGACGTGATTTCCTTCTTCCGGAAAAACATTATCACCCGGTATGGGGTACCTATGTCTATGGTGTTTGATAATGGTCCTCAGTTCGAGATGCCTCAGCTAAAAACTTGGTTGGGAGATCAGGAGATCTCAAGCTACTGTGCATCCGTTGGTCGGCCCCAAGCAAACGGCCAAGTTGAAGCCTTCAATAAACTCATCTCAGACGGCATTAAGAAGAAAATAGAAAGAGCCGGTGGCTTATGGGCAGAAGAGTTAATCCATGTCCTATGGGCCATCCGGACAACATCAAAAGGGGCAACCAGTGAAACCCCATTTCTCATGGTTTACGGTGCTGAAGCCGTCTTGCCCATCGAACATTACGAGCCGACTCTTAGAGTCATGCTATATAATGAAGAGGCAAACTGGGAAGCAATGCGCCTGGCATTGGATTCACTCCCAGAACGCAGGGGCAATGCCGCCTTGCGTCATGAGATTTACCGCTTGAGAATGACGAGAGCTTACAACAAAAGAGTACACAAGCGTCCTTTGAAAGTTGACGACTTGGTGTTACGAAAAATGGAGGCAACTGGTAGGGCCAATGAGCTGGGAAAGCTAACCCCAAATTGGGAAGGCCCCTACCGGATCTATGAAGAAGTAATGGACGGCACCTACCACTTGGAAACTCCAGACGGTAGGCGCCTGCCTAGAACCTGGAATGTAGACAATCTAAAAAAGTACTACTTCTGAGAATGTAAACTTTTTGTAAACAATGAGTCAATTAATGAAGATTCATACTTTGTTTGCAAAATTGAGATATGGTTTGATTACCCATCCGGGTAATATCCAGGCGGATTCCCCATTTACCTAACTAAGTTCGATACTTAGTGAAGGTTATATTTGTTTGATCGCCTGGGTAATACTCGGATCTCTTGTTTATTTAAGTTTGATACTTATGTTTATTCAACTGCTTGACTATCCGCCTGGGTAATACTCAGACGGATTCCCCATTTATCTAACTAAGTTTGATACTTAGTATGATCAAATATTTGCCTGTCCGTTTGGGTAATACCCAGACAGACTCGTTTGTTTAAAAAAAACTGATTTCGGTACTTAGTGTAAATTTAATACTTTGATTAAAAACTAAGCACAAAAACATTTAGTGGCTATGCAACCGGTCTCAAACAAGACCAGAGGCTAAAATGGCCGGATGGTTGCTCATTTTATAAAATCGCCTGTCCCAACATGGACAAAGGCGTTCGGCGACACCCCTCCGGGTGCAATCGTCGCAGAGAACAGACTATTTGTCGGTTCTACATATCCATGCAGACGACAAAGATTGAACGACCTAATTGGTCAACTCATAGTTGTCTGACCAAGTTGCCGAATACCGGATGCCATGGGGCATCAGTCGGTCACCGGCTGAAGGTTTCACTTAGGTTTATTCCAAAATTGCACTTCCCACCCCAATTGGGGCAAAAGAGTCGTGCAATGGCTATGAAATCTCTACCTAGGCGGACAAACGCCGTATGGGTAGTAACTGGAACGCCTGTTGATGTACGGCTGTGCACTTGGTTTGGGGCAATCACTATTGTGATTGATTGACTTGTAAATATATCATGCTCTTTACAACATCAGACGTTTTCAAGACAATCAACTAACTCCACTTGAAACCAACCACACAGCCGTCCAGGGGCAAGGACAGCCGGACTATTGATCAGTTAGGCAAAAATGAAAAATCGCCGCATGCTTTTGATAA